GTCTTCAAATATATGTTGTTGTTGAAAAAGAAGAAGTATGCTGCTGTCACAATGAGTCAGTTACCTAGTGGAGAGTTCATTACTTCTCAAGAGCTTAAAGGCTTGGACATTGTTCGCAGAGATTGGTCTCAGATTTCAGCAGAAGCAGGAAAGTATGTGTTGTAGTTAGTTTTTTCACGATTTTTTTAATGGCAATTTTGGCACTAATATATGTACTAATATATTTTGGTTTCTGATAGGTTCATACTATCTCAAATTTTGTCTGATATGCCTCAAGATGACAGAATAGAGGCTATTCATGCCCACTTAGTAAAGTTAAGGGAAGATCTAGAAGAGGGAAAAGTTCCTATGCAACTTCTAGCCATCACTAAACAGCTCACAAAAAACCCTGAAGAATATGTTGATCACAAAAATCAACCCCATGTACTTGTAGCAATGCGCCTCAACTCTCGTGGGGGCAAGCGTATTCGAAGTGGTGATACAGTCGCCTATGTGATCTGTGATGTAAGTTCTTCAATGTGTAAAAAAATTATTTGGTGATTTCTTATGTACGTTTTATTTAAGTTTTCTATGCTTGCAGGATGGCTCAAATTTAAGTGCCATGCAACGAGCGTACCATGTTGATGAATTGAAGACAAATAAGTCACTGAAAGTTGATGTCAAGTATTATTTAGCTCAGCAGATCCATCCAGTAGTTTCAAGACTGTGTGACCCTATTGATGGTACAGATGCAGCTCGTATTGCAGAGTGCCTTGGTTTAGATCCTACGTCATATCGGCGCCAAATGCAAAGAGCAGAAGAAAATGAAGAATTGGGTCTTGGCGAGAAGTCTGTTCTAGATGCTCAAGAACGTTTTAGAGACTGTGACAAGTTCAAATTTAAGTGTAGAAAGTGTGCTAAAGAAATTGTCATTGATTCCCCATACAGAAAAACTGTAAGTTTTCCATGCATAGTTGTCCTCACCTCATATTGTAATAGGATGTATACTGTAACTGATTTTTTTTTTTTTTTTAAATTTTCCTTCTTGACAGGAGACTAGTGAATATGAACTTGTCCTTGAGAAGTGTCCAAATTCAGATTGTGATCTATCTCCACTTCAGCATTTGGCCCCAATTCAGAATGCACTTACCCTGGCTATGCGCACATATGTACAAAAATATTATGCTGTAAGGAAAACATGTCAGATTTATTTTATTTATCTGTTTTATTTTCCCTCTTATTTTGAATTTTATGAGTACTTTTATTTTATTTTAGTGTTGGCTGGTTTGTGAGGATCCTGCATGTCCACAGAAGACCAGACGGTTGCCACTGAGATTTCAAAGTAATTATCCAATCTGTAATTTGTGTGAGAAAGGTGTCATGTTCAGAGAGGTAAGTTGTCATCTCATTTCCACTTTTATTATGATCTCCTTCCTTGTGAATCATCTAATCTAGTCTTCTCTTCTTTTGCAGTATACGGACACAGAACTCTATACACAACTGAGTTTCTTCCAACATATTTTTGACCTTTCTAAAATCCCTGCTAATGACAAGAGTAAGTATTGAACAAATTAGGAAAAAGATTGGGAAGCATCCCCCCTCCTCTGTTAGATGTAGAAGTAATTTTTTCTTTGTCTATTTTTCAGAGTTCTTAAGAATATCAGTTGAAACTGATAATGCTTATTGCAAACTGAAAGAGCATGTCGAGCAGTTATTGAAACATAGCGCATATTCTGTTGTAAACATGAGCCGTATGTTTGAAGGAATGTACCTGACAGTGCCTTCTTCAAAAGGTATCAT